CAGGGTTATAATGTTGTTGCGTTGTGTACATTGTGTGCTTTGTAGCTTGTCTTTGGAAGACTCTCCTGAACATCTTTATTTTCCTTTAGGGGTCATTTTTCTTCTCTCCCCTATCTTGGTACAACCCCCACAATGTTTTCTCATCACTCTTACTCATCTCTGATTAAACTGCTTGATTCTCAGGGTCTGAGGTAGTTTAGACCAAAGTCTACCCACTAATGGAGAAGGCTGAGAGGTGAAAGGTATGTGGGAGTGTGCAGATGGAGCTCTGTGGACATGCCTCAGCTGCGTGCCATACACATGGAATTTCTTTGAATCTCTTATCTTAAATTTAAAGTAAATTTTCATCCTACTTTATCATTATTCCATATTTGTTCCATAAATGAAAAGTAGATGCTTAGATCTAACTTAGGTATTTTTAAATATTAGCAGGCTGCTGTGTCTGAGCCAGCTGAGTTTTCCAAACAGTTCTTTCCCCTCGACTAGCGGAGACCTTCTGAGTACTATTAGATGTCCAAGTCCTCCTTACTGTCTGATTTTCTTGCTCTGATTTGCTAGTGTTTGTTTTGTTTTTACGATTCTACCAATACCCCATTTCTACTTCTAGTGATTCCTTTTTTTTAAGTGCTTATATATATATATATATATTTATTTTATTATTTTATTATATATATATATTTTGAGACAGAGTCTCACTCTGTTGCCTGGGCTAGAGTGCTGTGGCGTCAGCCTAGCTCACAGCAACCTCAAACTCCTGGGCTCAAGCAATCCTCCTGCCTCAGCCTCCCAGGTAGCTGAAACTACAGGCATGCACCACCACGCCCAGCTAATTTTTTTTATATGTATATATATTTTTAGTTGTCCAGCTAATTTCTTTCTATTTTTTTAGTAGAGACAGGATCTCATTCTTGCTCAGACTGAGCTTGAACTCCTGAGCTCAAACGATCCTCCGGCCTCAGCCTCTCAGAGTGCTAGGATTACAGGCGTGAGCCACCACGCCCGGCCTACTTCTAGTAATTCTGGATGGACTGCTGTTTGCATGCTGGACTGTCCTGTAATCATTCCATCTACCTTCAGCAATACTGTAGAAAGTTTAGCATCCTTGGACTCCACCTACTGACTTCCCATAGCACCCACAGTCATTTGCCATTTTTAAAATTGGAATTTAATATTTTTAAAATTTTAATTAATTTTAACTCCTTTTTTTGTGTGTGTAAGGGAGAGAATTCCTTAGTTTTAGTACAGTTAAATATTTTTGGTCTCGTGCCAAGCCAACCTCTCATCAAATTTCCAAATGAGAACAGCTTTTTTGACCATTGACCCCTTATATAAAATTCAGAACCTTCTGCTTTATAATAGGCTTAGAGGTAAACAATATTTTCATTCATTCAAAACTCAGACGACTATTTATCAGATGCCTGCTGTGTCCCAGGCAGTGTCCTAGGCAATGGGGTACAGCAGTGAACAGACCAATCCTCTGAGGTTTATCATGGTTTTTTTTTCCTACCTACACAAGTCACATTTTATGCTTATTTCTGAAAAGAACAAAGTTGTTGTCATCTAATGCGACATTAAATTGTCTTTATTATGCTCTGATGATTTCTTGTTCTAAAGTTTTAAGGACATTGACATTTACCAAGGACAGAAGAAAATATTGACCAAAATAATACATAAAATTAATTTTAAATATCCCCCAATCTGAGTGGCCTGTGCCTAATATGCAAAGCATTAGCAGAATATTAATATTTTAAACATATTGTACATTTTAGTAGTGAATAATGCAATTTCTATAAGAATTTCTGCAGTAATTTTCTTTTTGGCATATATAATTCATTTTGGCAGCAGTGACTTTATTTGCTATATGCAATTATTTAATTTTACTGGATTTATGTTATGTCATTCTAACATATTTATGTATGCATTCATGTGTAGCTGTACAATATTTAAAGAAACTGCTTAACGTTATCAGAAGCAACAGAGAAAGATCCTGAACCTAACAATGAAGTAGCCTGGCAAGATAAAGAGAGTAGGGAGTGCTGGGCAGATGTGATCCTGCCCTGTGGGAGAACAACCGGCATGGATGTTTTCAAAGAAAGAAAGGTGACACATGACCGGTATCCGTGGGGTGGGAGGCAGGGAGTGGGTAATAAAAACAGGTACCACTTGTTCTCCTACCTGCTAACATTACTTGCAGATTTCAGAACATGAAGTGACTAGAAAATACAATGGTAACACTTTTATATTTCTATGTGTCAAACACTATTGAAAATGCTTTGTTATTTTGTTTAATCTTCACAACAAACATGTGAGGTCGGTTTTTCATTATCTCTATTTTCCAAAATGAAGACAATGAGGTACTGGGAGATTAAGTGACAGGTGGCATCAGAGATGGTCTCTAAACCCAGACAGTGGGTTCTAAGGCATGGGTGGTTAGCTCCTGCACTGGACCACCTCTGGTAGGGCCAATGATATGGAAAGCTGAGTATCATGGCACTGTTTTTACTAATAAACTATATATTCACCTCCTAATCTTGAGCTTGATAAAGCTATGTGGTTTGCCATTTTTAAAATTGGAATTTAATATTTTAAAAAATTTAATTTTAACTCCTTTTTTTGTGTGTAAAAGAGAGAATTCCTCAGTTTTAATACAGTTAAATATTTTACTCTTGTAAAAAAGGCATTATTTTGTACAAAAATACCTATAGAGTGATAGAATAATTAGATTTTATTTTTGTTTACTTTCCCAAAAAGAAAAATACAGTTGAAGTAAAAACATATTTCATTTCATAAAAAATTATTAAATCTAGAATAGGGTAAAAATCATCTATTAACAATTATCTGTATAAAGACTGCTAAAATGTAAATACCTCAGTGTTTCTTTTTCTTTTCCTCTTTGTCATGTTTTGTGTTCACTTTTGAATTTGAGTGGATAATGTTTTGCATGTATTTTCCCTTTGTAGTTTTATTTACTCTTAGCCAAACTGACAGTTACCTCTAGAGAACTAAACCACGGAAACCATGATAAAGTTACAGCTGAATGACCCATGACTTGCCCTGTCCAATAAAGAGTTTTCTTTCTGAGACAATTAGGTCAGTATAGAATACCCTAGGATACAATACCTATATGAGCTTCTCTTAACTGGTTTACACACTTATGTGCTATTTGCCAAACACAAAACATCAATTGTTAGACCTCAACTGCAGTGTTTTTTATTAATCCAAAAGCAGCTGGTTCACCTTTCTTTCATTCATTTATTTTTGTCCTTTCATTTCTAAGTTTATTCTCTCCTCTGGCCACCATTGCCATTCTTATGGTTGTTTACACAGTTAAGAGACCATCTGCTTGTCTTTCATGCCTGAGGGAAGGGGAATAGAACTGTATTTCCATTCTTCAGAGAGTATTTTGTTTCCCTCTTAACTAAAAGCATTCAGGAAATGTATCTCTTTGGCTTAATATTTTTGAGAACTAAAAATGAGATTAGAAAAATACACCAGCATCTGTAATAATAAAATCCTTTCTATTAATTAAACATTCATATTTATGGAGATAACTAAATGATTTTTTTAGCATATTACCACAAATATCCAGGGACATGAGCGATTCAGGGAGATGGTTCAATTAATTTCAGCAATTCTGGATCACTGAAATGTGAATTGCTATGCATATGTTCAGTGAATGTAATCAAATTTGAATGGAACCATGTAGAAATATAACAGTTGTCTGCCTATCCACTAAAAATGGCCTTTCGTAGTGGACACTATGGGGGGGCCCATGAGCAGCCCTCCTTCTTTGAGAAATATCCCTCCCTGTTTCCTAACTATGTTTATATTACTTGACTCTGCATCCCTCCCTATCCCATTGCCCTACCTTAGGAGATACGGGTAAGAGTGAGGGTAGGTAGCAGTTTTCATCCAGGTCAGTGATTAGAAATTCTTCTCCATTGAAATTCCTACTTGAGAGATCAAGTCAATAAATAAATACAAAATAAATAAAAATAAAAATTTCTCCCAACTCAGAAAACATCTCCACAAAGGTAGTAAGGAAAGAAAACAATTTCATTATTAAACAAGCATTAAACCAGAATAAGATGTGCAACGTTTGGGGGATGGACATGCTTGAAGCTCTTACTTGAGGGGGGCATTGGCAATACAAGTAACCTTAACACTTGTACCCCCATAATATGCTAAAATAAAAAAAAAGACCTTAAAAAACAAAAACAAAACAAAGCAAAAACAAAACAAAAACAGAATGTGATGTACATCACAGGCAGTCTGCTAAGAGATTGCAGGGACATAAAGAAATCTCACCCTTATAATAGCCAAGGAATGTAAGCCATTCCATACATATTCTCATGATAAACAATAACCAGTCCCCAAGTAAGGACTTGACAGCACCATTTGTCTCACACAGTTCATCCAAAACTCACCTAGTAATTGAAGTGGCCATCTGTGTTAGCTAATTGGCTTTATCCAAGGGGGGAAAAATAACCTCCTCCTATCTTTATGAGAAGAAGTAATGTTGCCACCTGGAGCAAAGTGTCCACCAAAGTTAGACTCCTATTTTCCCACTGAAACTGGGAGATAGGGACTTTATCTCTCTTAATATTTACATTTCATAGAAAAGCCTCCTGAGTTCTTGAGAAAGATCTTAACAGGTCAGAAAGCTGACAGAATGCCAATCTAGTCTCAATCTTTGAAAAGATTTATTAATAAATACATTTCAAAGAGATGAGGAAGTACTTACAATGAACAGTTTTCTAAGGTAAAAGCTCTAAGAAAAAGGAAGAGAGGGAAATCTCTTCCCTTGTTTTCAACAGGGAGAATTGTCTCTTTTTTAAAATTTGTATTTATACTTATAATTGGAATACTTTGTATTTTATAGCACTTTTTAGTTTACAAAGCAGGTTCATACTTGCCATTTTCTTTACATTTTCTCTGGAAGTGGAATAATAATTATTATCTTAATTTTTCAGATAAACAAATTGAGCCTCAAAGTTTTGTGACTGGCTAAGGAGTGTATTTGGGGCTATATCCAGGTCTTCTAGATCAATTCCAATGATGTTTCTGACATATTGCTTCTCAAAAATTATTTTTGCATAAGGATGCATCTGAAAGGTCACACTCAAGGTTGAAATAGAATGATTGATTCAGAGTCTGGTGTCCTTTACAACACACAAGGTCCTTTGGGAACAATCTTGTCCACTGCGGCCGCTTTCCTTTCTCCCCGCACTGGATCTGTAGCCTTTGCAGCTTGGTTTTCCTCTCTGCTAAAATTGCTCTTTCAGCAATTGACAGCCCTTTAAAAAACAGATCCAGTGATAATTTCTCTATTCTTTTTTTTTTTTTTTTTTGTGGCACATCACATGACCTTACCATTTTAACCATTTTTGTGTGTATAGCTCAGTGGCATTAAGTATATTCATTCATACTGTTTGCTGTGCAACTATCACTATCCATCTTTAGAACTTTTTCTTCTCCCCAAACTGAAACCCTGCACCCATTTAACAGTAAGTTCCCACTCCTCCCTGCCCCCAGCTCCAGACAACCACTATTCTACTTTCTGTATCTATGAATTTGATTACTCTAAGTACCACATACAAGTGGGGTCATATAGTATTTGTCCTTTTGTGTCTGGCTTATTTCAATTAGAGTAATGTCTTCATGGTTCATCATCTTAACATGTGTCAGAATTCTATTACTTTTTACAGCTGAATAATATTCCATTGTATGTATACATCTCATTTTGTTTATCCATTCATCCGTTGACGGATACTTGGGTTGCTTCCACTTTTTGGCTATTGTGAGTAATGCTGCTATGAATGTGGGTGTGCAAATATCTCTTCAAGACCCTGCTTCAAATTTGTTTGGGTATATACCCAGAAATAGAATTGCTGAGTCATATGGTAATTCTGTGTTTAACTTTTTGTGAGAAACGGTCATATTGTTTTCCACAGTTGCTGCAACCTTTTTTGTTCCCACAAACAATACACAAGCGTTCCAGTTTCTCCACATTCACTAACACCAACTCTGTTATTTTATTATTTATTCTTCTTCCTCCTCCTTTATTTTTCTTTCTCCTCCTCCCCCCCCCCCCCCGCCCCGGGTGTGAAGTGGTATCTCTTGTGGTTTTGATTTGCACGCATTTCCCAAGTGATAAGTATCTTGTTATGTACCTATTGACCATTATTGGCAGAGTTTTTAAAGGAATGCCTGGAATCAGAGATTTTCTGATGCTGATATTTTCAAGTTCAACTTGTTCTTGCATTTCCAAAGAATCTTTAGTATCCCTCCACTCCCCTTTTTGTTTAAACTAACTTAGCTTGATTTCTGTTACTTGCAACCAATATTTCGAATTTAGCTTTCAATAGGCAACTATATTCCTTCTTCCTTCCACTAACTTCGCAATTAACTGCAGCATTTTGTTCACCCCACTATCTTTGTAAAACATTTCTGCTACATTCCTGCCATTTTCTGTTTATGAGTAGGGAAAATTATTAGCTATGGCAAAGAAAAACCCTCAAATTGTTCCTTTTTTAGTTTAGTGTAATAAATATAGGAGTGATACATTTAGATTGTACTTTCCTCTCCATGTACTTTTCCCTCCCAGACATGCATGTTTATTATTGTCTCATATGCTTATGTTTTATGCAGGGATGTCAGGGTGATGGAAGTCTATGCTGTAGCAGCCAGTCAAGCAAACCTCATGTGGTAGAGGAGAAGCAACCATGGAGGAAAAAGGGACTGGAGTGATTGGGTTGGAGGGGTGGAGAGCATGGGGTGGGGGTCGAGTTTGCTTGGGTCTCACATTTCTAGTAATGTCAATCCCTAGTATTCCTGTTTTAGAATATCATTAGTATTCTTGTTTTAGAATATCATTAGGTAGAGTGAAGATTAAATGACATAATCTGTGTGCAGCACTTTACCCAAAGTTTGGAATTTAGTAAGAACTCAGCAAAGGTTAGCTATCTCTCCTCCCAAAAGGAATATTTTTATATCAAAATTTTAAAATTCCCTTTTATTTCTAGTGTAACTTTCTTCTAGCTGGTATTTAGGGAACATGGGATATGGACATTTTATCTCTTTTTAAATTAATGTCTTGCATTTAATGTAACAAGATGGCTTTCTAATTGTGCAGACATTAAACTTAAAACAAATGTCACAGTGGGAAAGAGGCACTGATCATGTCATTTAAATGAGGAATGAGGATAAGATCAATGCCTTGATTTTCTATAATCATTATAAGGGTCACATAAAATGCCATTTTTTTTTCTACATTCATTCTACTGTCAGGATTCTGAAGCAATGAACAGGAAAAAAATAAAGTTACAGTGTATTTCACTGACACCTTAGAAGATTCGAATTAATAGTCTTTAAGGATCTATAGAATTTTATTAAATAATAGTTGAGCTCAAATTAAAATGGAAATTGCAGTAATATTTTTTCTCTGAGAAAGAACTCCTTTGTCTGATTTGTCACTGTATCATCATTTATTCTTCTGTTATTGGGATGATCATTTAATCACATGTTCTTCTTTTAGGGTTAATTACAAGTTTAAGGACTTACCATCAACTCTCTCCCCAACGCCACGACTATATCCTGGAACATTTTTGTCAGCATTCTGACAAAGCAGGATCTAGGACCCATATCTGTCTTTTCTATCCTGATTTTGGAAGATAAGTGAGTTAAAATGATCATGTAATTTATTTGTAGTAAGAAATCACCAAACTTGGACTTTTTAAAGACTTACGTCTTCTTTTTGTAAAGAATTTTACCTTATGTTTTTCATGAACCACCAGTGCAGATCTGGAAAAACTGTGGGGTTGCCCTCAGTCAGTGGAAATGACAGAGCTCAGGCTTAATATTGTGTAGTACTTACATACTCTGTCAGACATGATTACAGTTTCTGTTTATAACCATTCAATTTCTTAAACTGCAGCCATGCTCTGCTATCTCTGTGTTTGAAAAATGTTTGTATTCTCTATTCCTTTAACACAGGGGTCAGACTTCATGAGAAGATAATGATTCTTCAAGGCTTCAATGTCCTTGTTTCCTCTGCCCCCAAATGTATCAAAATGTTTTGTTTATGGTTGTTACAGTGCCACCGGCAGACCTCCATACAATTGCATCTGAACCATGATACAACTCTGGTTAATGCTGTGAGAATTTGATACGGTGTTTTTATTCGCCACACTGGTAAATGGATATGGTCTTTTCTAGTCTGCAATATGTAGGGTTCTCAGCTGTAAGGAAGCTCCTGTAGATATCTTTGATTATGGAAATGGTGTTTTAAAATTAGAGACATGAGTTTACATAGAACACAAAACAGACCTGTCTCTATTGGAAAGAAAGGATTCCTGGACATCAGTATTAAAAACAATAGAAGCTTAATGATACAGAATGCTAAGAAGTGTTAAAGCTACTATTGTATCGTACTAAAAGCAGTCACAAAATTTTAAAAAAATAGTGCCATTCTCGAAACTCGGGCATTTGCCTCAAGTTTTGTTTCTATTAGAGGTTGTAATCTTTACAACTTAAAGACTTGATATATTTTCATATGAGCTTCATCACTTATTAACACTTTCATTTTACCTGAGAAAAAGCTGTGATGGTGATTGGTCTCAGAACAGGGTGTTATGTCTCATTTGACTGTGTTTCTTCAGCATGCTCTGCAGTGCCTGGCCCTTAGAGAGCTCAACAAATAATTGCTGAATGAAAGAGGAGTTTTCCCTTATTTTATGCTTTTCCATAGCTTGAACTTCCTTTGATAGACACCATTGACTGATGACATTTGACAATTTGGTGCAGTGTTTTTGACAGTGCGAGAGCTGTGCTTCCACGCCCGATCTAAGATGAGCAAGAGGGTTCCATTCCTTGAGTAAAAGTTTCTATTGAAAAAAAAAAAATTCTGTGAGTGCTTTTGTCTACCTATTGTCTTTGGAAGTCTCCCGAGTTGTAGGAGCATCTATTCTCACACATTTCTAACTGCCTGCCCAGCCTCTCTACCTATCTGTCCCACAGATACCTAAAACTCATATGTCTTAAGCTGAACCCATCTTTTCTTCTTTAAATTTATTCAATATTTCTATTAATATCACACTTATTCCAATTACTTTATCTAGTAACTTGGTATTGTACTTCTGCCCTTTCCTGCACCTGATGCATATAACTTCTGATATTTCTGGCCCAGTATTGGCAATTCTGCCTTTCTAACCTCACTTCCATCTGTCTCCGCTGTATACCCAACTGTCGCTTGCTTTGTTACATTGTCTATGCTTTTCTTTTTTCTTTCTGTCTCTAGTACCTCCCTTTTAAATCAAGATCTGTCACCTTGAAGCAGATTTCTAAGTATGTCACCCAGCCATTCACCTTTTGTCCTAAAGCCCCTACCTAATTGCTTACAGAACAAAGTATGAACATCTTAGCTATTGGTTTTAGAGCAGCATTGTGCAATAGAATACAGTGCAAATTGCAATCTGGGGACATTATGCTAAGTGAAATTAACAAGGCACAGGAAGGCAAATACTGCGTTATATCACTTGTATGTGGAACCTGAAAAAGTCAAACTTATAGAAGTAGAGAGTAGAATGGTGGTTATTAGGGGCTCGGGTAGGGTGGGAAATGGGGATATGTTGATCAAAGGGTACAATGTTTCACATAGACAGGAAGTTTAAGTTCTGAGCATTTATTGTACAGCATGGTGATTATAGTAAATAACGATGTACTGAACATTTAAGAATGGTTAAGAGAATAGATTTTCAATGTTCTTACCACAAGAGTATGTGAGGTAATAAATATGTCAATTAACTTGATTTAATCATTCTACATATATATATATCAAATGACATATACATCAAATATGTATAACGAATATATCAAAACATCACATACTCCATAAATATGTAACTTTTATTTCTCAATTAAAAATATTAAAAAATTAATAGAAGTTATAGTAGCCATTTAAAAAAAGTAAAAATAATGTATTTTATTTAAACCGATACTTTTAAAATATTTCAACAGGTCATCAATATAAAAGTCATTAATGAGATATTTTACATTCTTTTTTTCTACTAAGTCTTTGAAATATGTTTTTGGCTGTATTTCAAATGGCCAATGGCCATTGGTGGCTAATGGCCTTTATATTAGATAGTGCAGTTCTAGCATTTCACTAAATTTTACAAACCTGCTTCTGACTCAAGTTTTCTTTCCTCTGTGTATACTCCATGCAACAGTCAAGTTGAACTCTATTTTACCATTTGTAAATAATCCAAGTTATTTTGCTTCCTATCTTTGTCTTGTTTCATATCCATAGGATGCTATTCCCTCTTCTGCTTTTCCAAATCTTGCAAGTGCTTTAGGGCTTTGTTCAAATGCAGCCTGACCCACAAGGTCTTATCTTCCCTAACATAAATAAACTTTTCCCCTTCTGAATTTTCATAGCCTATTTTCTGTGTTGTCGCTTAGCAATCTTAAGTTTTCTACACATCCATCATATCTCCTTTATTCGGTCATAAACTTCTTGAAAGCAAGCACTATATTTTCTTCACTGTGCCACACATGATGCTTAGCTCATAAAAGCATTTCCTGCATGCTTAATGAATCATAAGTTAAACTCCATGTGAAGGTGATTTTATTAACTGGGCCAAGAAATGATTACCACTAGTCAAAAATGAAAAAAAATGTACCTGTATGTATATTTCATTATTTTTGGATTTATGCAACATTGAAAACAGTGCTATTAAGTTAGCTGAAAACATAGCTTTACCAAAAATGACATACTTATATGGCATATGTAAAGAATTTATAAGGACATCTTTTCACTTGGAAAGTGCTAGAAGAATACTTTGATAGATTATGTCACATCTTGATTAGACATTCTTTGAAAGAGGATACGGTAAGAGGTTGCTTTTACTTATCAATTTCTTGCTAAGGCCCACGGGGAATCAGAAAGAACCTCTCTGCCTTTTTAGACCAGTTTTTGGGCCATAAAACTATGCTTTCTCTTTTTTCAGTTTTGTATTCTTATTTCCTTCAGGGTGATTGAATCAAGTAATTGACTGTCTCTAAAGAGAAGCTTGGGCTGGGCGTGGTGGCTCACACCTGTAATATTAGCACTCTGGGTGGCCAAGGTAGGCGGATTGCTTGAGGTCAGGAGTTCCAAACCAACCTGAACAAGAGTGAGACCCCGTCTCTACTATAAATAGAAAGAAATTAATTGGCCAACTAATATATATAGAAAAAATTAGCTGGGCATGGTGGCACGTGCCTGTAGTCCAGCTACTCGGGAGGCTGAGGCAGGAGGATTGCTTGAGCCCAGGAGTTTGAGGTTGCTGTGAGCTAGGCTGACGCCACGGCACTCATTCTAGCCTGGGCAACAAAGTGAGACTCTGTCTCAAAAAAAAAAAAGAAGCTTGATATTGGTGAAGCTAAGGTGTAATTCCTTCATGATGGTGTCTCATCTTACATTTACCTTGGACCAATTCCTGTCATTGTAAAATAGATTCTTCTAATAGAAAAGCCTAAAATATGTTAATTGATATACCAAGAACATGAAAAATTTTCATATTCTAAACCAGCTTCTCTGTTTCTTGAATCTAACTCAGTGGAAATTTCTCTCTGGTCACTGAGTGTGGCAGCTGCTGTCAGTGCTTCACCCTTCTCCCCTAGAATCCCCTTATCAGTTTCACCCATGCTGCCTGCTTCCAACATCCAGGATGTTTACACAGGAGCATGAAAGTACCTGAGATTTAAAGCACTCTGGGGAGCAACCCCTAACCAATGACTGAAGGACGTGGGGAAAATACACTCCACTCCCTCAACCCCTGGCTGGGTGGCACATGTTTTATACTATCTTCCAGAGACTTCCCCTCGCCCATTTCAGTCATGTACTGTGCTTGCTGCCTTAATAATGCAGCCTTTATTGTCTGCCTTCCCTTTCTTTTCCTGCCCTGTCTAAAGTGGGCATTCCTGCCTTAATTAAATCTAGATACACTCAATCCTTGACTCAGCAGCTTTCTCCTGGAGAATTCAACTAAGACACTGAGCTAACCAAGGATTTAAGGCTGTCAGTATGGTTTCTATTCTCCCTACCTCTCTGTCCTTCTCCTTCCCTACTCTTCTTCTCCCTCTCTTCTCTGTGATTTTCTTTTCCTTTTCTTTTCTTTTTTTTTTTTATCCAATGTTTATGGAGAGTCTATTGTATGCAAGTCACTGAATAATGGAGATGAAAGGAAATGTCCTTGTCCTGAAGAATCTCAAAGTCAAGTCAGGGAGACAGAACAGTAAAAACAACATTATAATACAGAGTGGTAAGTATGCAAAGATAGAGAGAAATACAAGGTGCTACTAGAGTGAAATACAGAAAAAAAAAATAACACACAAAATAGGGCATCAGAAAAGGCTGGCTTTGGGAGTTGATTCTCAGACTCTTTTTAAGTAGTTGTTCTTAAACTGTGCTTTCTATACCAGCATTAGCATCACCTGGGAACTTCTTAGGAATGCATATTTTTTGGAGCTAACTCAGATCCACTGAATAAGAAACTCTAGGAGTGGGACATAGCAACCTGTATTTTTTTTTTTTTTTTTGAGACAGAGTCTTGCTTTGTTGTCCAGGCTAGAGTGAGTGCCGTGGCGTCAGCCTAGCTCACAGCAACCTCAAACTCCTGGGCTCAAGCGATCCTCCTGCCTCAGCCTCCCGAGTAGCTGGGACTACAGGCATGCGCCACCATGCCCGGCTAATTTTTTGTATATATTTTTAGTTGGCCAATTAATTTATTTCCATTTATAGTAGAGACGGGGTCTCGCTCTTGCTCAGGCTGGTTTGGAACTCCTGACCTCGAGCAATCCGCCCGCCTCGGCCTCCCAGAGAACTAGGACTACAGGCGTGAGCCACCGCGCCCGGCGCAACCTGTATTTTAATAAGCTCTGAAAGTGATTCTGATACATTTATCTCACTTCACCAGTGGCTCTTGAAATCACCTACTGCATAACACTTGCATTGTCTGAGTCAGCTTCTGGAGGTACTCAAATTATGATAGTGCTCTTGAACTACTGAAAGTTTTGATTAGCTGGGGCCATTTGGAATGATGGCAGTCTAGTTACATAACAGGTTTCCTCATTAAATTACGTGGAATTATATTCCACTGAATGTAGCATGATTGGTTTGGCTTTTTTTTCTGTAACATTTTCTTTTTAATTTCTAAAAAAGACTGTTTCAGCCTATTGTTGATTTTGATAAAACTTTTTTGTTTTTTGACCTTTTTTGGAGGAACAAAAGATTCTACTCAAATTTATTTCAACTTATCCCTACAAATATCCTCACCAGACTGGATAAAATGGTATTCGTTTTGATAAAACACCGATGAAGAGCCATCAAGAGAAAATTATTTATTCTAAACACTTAATTCTAAATTACTAAAGCTCATGCACAGGGTTGGTCATGTTGATACTAGAAGATTAACTTTTGCATGGACCATTTTTGGGTATCCTTCTGCCAAAGTGTCTGAGACCCACCCTATATAACATGAATCCAGTAGGAGAAAAAATCAATCTTGAAGATTTAGTTTGATATCACAATAATATCTGGCTGATTACTTTTTAAAAAACCTTTTACAAAGTTATTGTTTTAACACTTTACGTTTGGTAATGAAAATAACCTTCTTGGTTTGAATAGTTATTAAATGGTTTCTCCTTCATTATATGCACTGGCAAGTCATAGTAAAAAAAAAAAACTAAGCAATTTGAACATAAGACTGTATATTCTGACGGTAAAATTGTTTGACAAGCTCATTACTAACATCATTAGAGAAGAATAAATAGAAACATGCAAACATAAACCAGTGGCAGAGTTCTGCATGATTTTTTATTTTCTTAGTTTTGCTAGTCTTATTTTCTCAAATGTAAAATCGTGTGATCATCCTATGGAAACATACTCATGTATTTCTCAGTTTATACTCAATTACATTGTTTTTGTTATGTATAAGACATGTAGTCCCATTTGATTTGCATATCATAGGGGCAGTTAAAGTTGACCTAAATTAGGTGGATTTAGATTGGTCTCTCCCCTAACTAGATCCCCTCCTTACCTTCCCATTTATGAACCGTTAGCACTTTCCTGTGAATTCAGATTGAAAATCTGAGTTTTATCTTTGACTCAACTCTGGCTGCCATAACAAAACACCAGAGACTGAGTTGGCTTAAACAACAGAAATGTATTTCTTACATTTCTACAGGCTTGGAAGTCAAAGATCACAATGTGTCAATGTAGGTTTCATTCTGAGGCCTCATTTCTTGGCTTGTAGGTATTTTTTGTTTGTTTGTTTTTATTTCGGCATATAATGGGGGTACAGATTTTAAGGTTTCAATAAATGCCCATTTCCCCCCCTCCCCCCCAAAGTCTAAGTCTCCATCATGACCATCCCCCAGATGGTGCACATCTCACTCATTATGTATGTATATACCAGCCCCCCTCCCCCCTCCCACCTGCCCAATACCCTATTACTGTAGTACCTATGTGTCCATTTAGGTGCTACTCAGTTAATACCAGTTTGCTGGAGAATATATCTGGTGCTTGTTTTTCCATTCTTGGGATACATCACTTAGTGTAGTATGGGTTCCAGCTCTAACCAGGAAAATATAAGATGTGCTGTGTCACCATTGTTTCTTAGAGCTGAATAGTACTCCATGGTATACATATACCACATTTTATTAATCCATTCTTTGATTGATGGGCACTTGGGCTGTTTCCACAGCCTTGCAATTATGAATTGTGCTGCTATAAACATTCGAGTGCAGGTGTCTTTTTTGTAGAGTGTCATTGGATCATTTGGGTAGATGCCCAGCAATGGGATTGCTGGATCAAATGGTAGATTCACTTGTATCGCTTTAAGGTATCTCCATATTGCTTTCCACAGAGGTTGAACTAGTTTGCAGTCCCACCAGCAGTGTAGGAGTGTTCCTCTCTCTCCGCAACCACGCCAGCATTTATTGTTTGGAGATTTTTTGATAAAGGCCATTCTCACTGGGGTTAAGTGATATCTCATTGTGGTTTTGATTTGCATTTCCCTGATGATTAGAGATGTTGAGCATTTTTTCATATGTTTGTTGGCCATTCTTCTGTCTTCTTTAGAAAAATTTCTGTTCAAGTCCTTTGCCCACTTTTTAATGGGGTTATTTGATTGTTTCTTCCTAATTTTTGTGAGTTCTAAGTATATTCTAGTTATCAGTCCCTTATTGGATGCATAGGATGCAAAAATTTTCTCCCATTCTGTAGGTTGTCTGTTTACTTTCATGACTATTTCTTTGGCTGTGCAGAAGCTTTGTAGTTTGATCATGTCCCATTTATTTATTTTTGTTGCTGCTGTGATTGCCTTTGGGGACTTCTTCATAAACTCTTTGCCCAGGCCGATGTCTAGGAGATTAAT